TTTACTTGGCTATATGTTGAGCTGAGCCATAAAGGGAACTAGTTCAAAAAGAAGGAAAATGAAGAATGGAGTTGGGCAGAGCAATTATATATTCTAATTATATTGAGGAAGATGGGAGACCTGCCATATCTTATGCATGCCCAGCCCAGGTGGGAAAGGGGGAAACATCCAAGCATGACCTTTTTTAAAAAAGGGTGAATGATCTCCTGTTTGCCAGTGCTATTTTTCTAGAAAAAGATGTGCTGGAACTCACCATTAACATCTCCCTCATTCTGTTAGAATGGCAATGGCGCCCACTTGAGAGGTGCTGGAACTGAGTTCTGAGGAGTTCCAGCTCAAAAAAGCTTTTGTGTGTGCCCAGGAATGACAGGTGACAACACCAAAACTGTGTGCCTTTGGGGTATCTATCATGGCAGAAGCATATCCTGCATTCTGCCCACGTAGTGTGGCTTTAGCCAAGTCCCAAAATTTCTCAGTTGGCATAACTAAGGTACAGGATTGCACCCTTACACAGTGAACAAAATTCTCAGTTGATATGGAGGAGCTCAAAGCATCAACACCCCAAAAGATCTTTGTTCTGTAGCCACAGATTTGGCATCAAGCATAAATCAAGCATGATTATTTTCTTGTATTAGTTATAACAAGATCCCTCTCCCTATTATACTGTAAGCCGCTTTGATAATGTGTTAAGAGGGAAGTGTATAAATCTTAGATAGATGATAGATATATAGATGATAGATGATAGAGATAGATAGATGATAGATGATAGATAGATAGATAGATAGATAGATAGATGATAGATAGATGATAGATGATGATAGATAGATAGATAGATAGATAGATAGATGATAGATAGATGATAGATAGATGATAGATATAGATAGATAGATAGATAGATAGATAGATAGATAGATAGATAGATGATAGATAGATATAGATAGATAGATAGATGATAGATAGATAGATAGATAGATAGATAGATAGATAGATAGATAGATGATAGATAGATAGATAGATATAGATAGATAGATGATAGATAGATAGATAGATAGATGATAGATAGATGATAGATAGATAGATAGATAGATGATAGATAGATAGATAGATAGATAGATATAGATGATACATAGATAGCTAGATAGATGATAGATAGATAGATAGATAGATGATAGATAGATAGATAGATGATAGATAGATAGATAGATAGATAGATAGATGATAGATAGATAGATGATAGATAGATAGATAGATAATAGATAGATAAACAAACAGATAGGTGGCACAGGATTTATCACCTTATATGAGAATCATAGCCCAGAGACAGTGTGATGTTGAGGTTAGGAAGGCCTGAGATCAAATGTTCACTTTTTGAAGATCACTAAGTGACGATGGGACCAGTCACTTTCTAACAACCTAAACTATTTCATTGGGTTGTTGGGAGGGTAAAATGGTGGTGGTGGTAGCTCCCAAGTTCTTTTAAGAAAGGGCCAGATAACGCAAGATACTGTTATGAGTTTGGGGGATTCCATTCTTAAAGGGGTGGGGAAGGTTTCTTGGTGAGTTAATGGGCCCTAAGAGAAGTGGCTTTGTGCCAGAAGACAAATGGGTGGACCCCCTCCACTACCTGGTGGGTAATGAGAAGGATAATAGCCAGAGTAGAGTTGTGAGAGAGAGCTGGGCTATATGCAGGCTTCTGGCAAAAGCCAGAGAGTGAGACCCATGTTTGATTTATGCTTGGTGCCAAGTCTGTGGCTATAGGAGAAGCAAGACCTTTTGGAGTGCTCAGGTTATGTATAAAAAGAGCCATTTGCATGTGTAGGTCCCCAGGCCACCCCTCAAATAATTTCACACACCACACATAATTTTAGTTTTGGTTTTTGGGCACTATTTTGGCCACGACTTTATTGAAATACAAAATCAGTGAGTGGTTGTTTAGACATTGGTTATGACTATCTGTCCCCCCCGCCCCCGCCTGGGACAGAACTGACATCCCGAGGTCCGATCGGAAGCCAGTAGAAGGGAAAGTCAAACTTGGGGGTCATTTGAGCTGAGTGTCGGTCCCACGCCGCTCACCCAACCAGCTCCCCAAGGCTTGCCGGCCCTGGTCCCATGACAGGGATTGGACGAAATCATGGCAAGCCCCAGGATTCCTTTAACGGAATTCCCTTCAGCGCAATAGGAGGGGCACGCACAGCCTATCCTGACCCCTCCACCACCAGCTTTTTATAACCAATGCCTAACTGCAACCTTACAAGTTGTGACGAATTGCTAAATAGTAGGCAAAAACCAAATGGCAACAGCCAATCAGCCAAATGGCAAAATTCCTACTAGGCCCCTGCACCAAGGCAGGCGACCCCATGACAGGCAAAGCAAGGTCAACCGGAAAACAGGGCGGGCGGGAGGGTGATCCGATGCACTCTGCAAAAGAGAAAGGAAAACCAGAGTGCCCCAATATTTAAAGACTATGGTCTCACCCACCAAATTTGCAACATACAATTTGCCCCAGCAACCCGGTTATCCAATCAATGCCCCAGGCAACAATTATTAACCTGCCTGGCAACATAGGGCTGGCCCGGCAGCCCACACCGCAACACGTGCTCTCATTTAATTGGAGAATGCGCTATATCATAAAGACACTACAGTCTCCACTGCCCGTCATTCCAAGGAAACTGAACCCTGGACAAGGGCCTGGAAACTCTGGAATCTTGCATGGCTCAGAGATTGGGGTGGCTTGCTGCAATACTTTTGCAAGAACTGTGCCATTCCACTATTCCATTAAAGATTAAATACAGTTTCTGCATATGATTCTGATGTATTTGGGGGAGAAATCCCAAAGGTAACAGAACCAATTGGGTCAGGGTAAAGACTTTTATTTTTATATTTACATTCAAACTATCCAGGAACAGAAAATATATAGCTTAGTCGTTGACAGTAAGAATTCCAGTTTCCTTAGCTTTATTCAGAGGTACACACATAGTGTACAAAACTGACAGGAAAATTGTGGCTCAGAGGTTGTTCAGACCCCAGCAGAAATAGCTTTTTGATTCAACACTACAGCTTCCTTTCCACCATCCCTCTCCTTTCTCTGTCACCGAGCTAAAAATATTGAAAGGCTATCCCATCTTCCATGTGTGTCCAATAGAGATTGATAGTTTCTGCATGAGATGCCAGTTACAGGAAATAGATTTGGGGAAATCAGCAGTCAGCACAGAAGGGAAGCCACCGAGCAGTAATAAAATAAAAAAAGCCTCCACCACTTTTCATTTCCAAACGAAGAAACTCTTTGAAACCAGGGTGGCTTTAAATATATATATGTATGGAAATATAACCACAGAGTTGTCATATATCTTATCCACTACACAAAATTTCTAGTCAGATGAATGGTACAAGGAACAAAATGTGATGGTTTTTGTCAAGATGGAGAGAGGAACGAAGCAGTAATTGCAAGAATCCTTTCACACCAATGATTAGCCTATGATAAGGCATTTCAGTCTAAACATACATAGGTTCTTCTTGCCCTCACCTCAAGAACAAAGTTTTTCCCCAACCTCTGAGTCTGCCCCCCCCCATGTTTTATCCAGACTATGAATAAAATATATGCTTGCAGATATGCAAACAGTTATCATTTAGCTTCTCTAAATGATGATGCAGCTGATGACAATATTTCCGTGCAGTCTGTGACCTGTGCCTATGTATGCAGATGATACCTAGCTCTACCTCTCTTTCAAATCAGAACCGACAACCAAGGTATGACTGTACTTATAAAGGCTTGCTCAGTAGTTGCCCCATAGCTGAATGCATGAAGCCACCTTAAACCACTGATCCATCTAAGCCATTCTGGCAGCAGCTCTCCAAGTACTCAGGCAGGGGTCTCCCCCAATCCTGATATCAGTCATTCTCTTTTAGCTGGAGATACTAAGGATTGAACTCGAGATCTTTTTCAGGCAAAGCAGATGATCACCCATCTCTCCTACTGTAGAACAGCTGCCCAACTGCTACATTGAAGGGGAGGGTGATGTTGTTTTGGAAATAATTTTTTTCACAGGGTCAGCTCCAGATTTTGGAGGGCCCTTGGACAAGTCACAAGACACCCTCCATGCCCCCCACCTCAGTGAGCCTATCTCTCACTACAATAGGTCCAGGTGGGGCTTGTCAGCAGGCAACCTGCTGGGAACTTGGCCTTCTGCAGTTACCCAATGAGGCCCACCATTGATGCTTGCAGAAAGGTGGCTTATAAAGGAAGGAGGGAGAGGGAGATGGAGCTATTCAGAAGTTACAGCTCTTGTGTAAAGTAATGGGAAGACTATGCTAACTAGCTCTTCCACCTAGCATCCATGCAGACAACATGAATATCTACAGGGAAGTGGACTTTACACGTAGAGTCAGTAAGCAAGGTTAGACTGTTCACACAACTTTTGGGAGGGCTAGTCATTGCTGGTTGCCATGCCCCACCCCCCAATCCATACATATACTCTCCACCCAATAAAGCTATATTCTATAACATCTAAAGATAGCTTAAGAAAAGTTTATAAAATGGAGTCTTCTGAATTGTAGAAAGCCACGTAGAATGTGTAATTTATCTTTTCTTCTTACATCCTCTAAGACTGTGCATGTGGTTTTAGGTCAGACCTAAATCAGCATGCCTCTCTTTCAGATCGAAAGCTCCTAAGATTATTGGGAGAGCAGGTTCAACAAGCTCTGTCGTTTCTGGGAAGACAAAGTGATGGATTAGCAGACAACCAAGCTCGAGGCTGTGACAAAAACGCCAGATCTTGTGAGACTTGTAGGATGGACGTTGACACTGACCAAAGGAGCTAATGCTTGGTAAACATGTCAAACAATCATATTGTCATTTGTACTGGGGGTGGGAGGTGCCTGTGTGAAACCACCCTTTGAAGAACACTGAGTTGGAAAGGAAGATGTTTAACCATATTTTTATTTAAAAAAACTGGACCTATACTAGTGACATGTAATTGTAGAGTTGACCCCACAAGGGTCAATTGATCCAACATGGGGATCATACCCACAACCCTGAGATTAAGAGTCTCCTGCTCTATCGACTGAGCTATCCACAGGGCTGATAGAACTGAGTTCAGGAGCAGTCCTGTTTAGGGAAGTTTTTTATGTTTGATATTACAGAGTTTTTAATATTCTGTTGGGAGCTGCCCAGACTGGCTGGGGCAACCCAGTCAGATGGTCAGCATATAATAATAATAATAATAATAATAATAATAATAATAATAATAGAGATCCATGAGAGTCATCTGTCCTTCATGAAAAGTAAGTCATTCAGAAGGAGGGAGATGGGCTTCCAATCTAACCTCTTCCCAAACCAGGTTGTTCTAGTAGTAGTAGTAATAGTAGTAGCTGGAATACATATTACAGATAGTCTTTTTCCCCCATTCTACTCTTGGGCATTCCTATTTCAGCTTTCTATTTGGGGGGAAGCAGAAGCCTCAGCAGCTTGCCTTAATGAAATATTTTGGGTTGCACTAATATTTTTGCATGATATCACCTTCACCAGTTTCACCCTCTAGTACAGAAAGTCATAACATAAACAGCCTTCAACACCAGATGAATGGGACTGACACAGGAAGAGTGAATGGCTGAGCAGTGACTGGAAAGAACATGGGACAAAATAAAAATTTAGTACATCTGGCATGCAAGGGAGCTGGGCAACTTTTATCAGTTTGTGTAATGAGGCAAAATATTAAAATAGACCAACTGACCATGGAGCTTTGTGTGACAATGGTCTCAAGTGGAATGGAGAAAAGAAGAAGAATCCCACGTAAAAGAGAAAGTCACTTTCTAAAAAGAAAGAAGAAATTTGCATATAAAGAGACACCAAAACATGCCCTTGGGTGGAATGCACATATTTCAAGATCCCATAATTACAGTCGCATATATAAAGGCCGATACTGTGAAGGAATGAAATTGTTCAGGCATTGTGTATTTGCTTGTTATTATAAAACATGCCCTTCTGTTTATACATGGGGTTATTTAGAAGCTATTCTTGTCCAGGGGTTCAGAGTGTCTCAGAAGGTTCAACAAGTCAACCCAGAAAACTGAAACATTAGCTGGCAGAGAAGCCTAATTTGTATGAGAGCTAGAAACTTAGCAACACTATAATGGACTTCTGGTTTTTTCTTTTGTTTTTGTTTTGTTTTTGTCAGGGATGTGCTGAGGAGGACTGCACTGAGGAGGAATGGTGGGAGCCACCCCCTCCCCCGATCCTGAATCTTCCCAGGAGCAGGAGGACAGTATAGATTTGGAACAGTGGTTTGCAGAGGGGCATAGTTCAGAAGGCAGAAGCTGGGAAATACTGGATGGGGAACAGCTAGGAGAAGAAACACTGGAAGAGAGAGGGTTAACAGATTCACAGTCACTGCACACCATTCCTCCACCACCCTCCCCAAGAAAGTCTCAGAACAGGAAGCGCAGAGGGTACAAACTTAGATTACAAGACATAGGAGTGACGCACATTAATAGGGACGGAGGGGGTGTGAGCCTTAATTGGGAGCACTGGCATTTCTAGGGAGATGTGTTCTGTTGTCTCTCACTGTTGTTATTATTAAAGAATCTAACTGGTAAGATGTTCCTTTTGTTTTATCTTCTTATAGCCACGATAGCGGAAGCCGATTCCTCAAAACCTGACAGTTTTTCTGATTGGTTAAGAGGTTGGGAGAAGGAATTGGAATTGTGTGCATGTGTGCATATATAAACCAATAAGAGAGCCAGAGAGCTAGACATCAGAAAAAGAATCCAGGAGTGTGGCAAACAAAAGAAGCAAGAAATTTGGAAGCTGCCCTGACTAGGAACAGGTGAAATAAATTACTTCATTGCCAGGTCTTGTCTATCACCCATGTCTAATTGCCTTACCACCCCACTTGGTATAAAGAATGTGGTTGGTTTAGTCAGGAAGTCCAGAGAGACATCACAGAGAAGAAAAGGCTGTTTTCATGGACATAGCCAAGAGAAAACTCATAGAATCATAGAGTTGGAAGAGACCACAAGGGCCATCGAGTCCAACCCCATGCCAAGCAGGAAACACCATCAGAGCACTCCTGACATATGGTTGTCAAGCCTCTGCTTAAAGACCTCCAAAGAAGGAGACTCCACCACACTCCTTGGCAGCAAATTCCACTGTCGAACAGCTCTTACTGTCAGGAAGTTCTTCCTAATGTTTAGGTGGAATCTTCTTTCTTGTAGTTTGGATCCATTGCTCCGTGTCCGCTTCTCTGGAGCAGCAGAAAACAACCTTTCTCCCTCCTCTATGTGACATCCGTTTATATATTTGAACATGGCTATCATATCACCCCTTAACCTCCTCTTCTCCAGGCTAAACATGCCCAGCTCCCTTAGCCGTTCCTCATAAGGCATCGTTTCCAGGCCTTTGACCATTTTGGTTGCCCTCCTCTGGACACGTTCCAGTTTGTCAGTGTCCTTCTTGAACTGTGGTGCCCAGAACTGGACACAGTACTCCAGGTGAGGTCTGACCAGAGCAGAATACAGTGGCACTATTACTTCCCTTGATCTAGATGCTATACTCCTATTGATGCAGCCCAGAATTGCAGATGTTCACTTGGTGACCATAGTGAGGAACATCGGAGATGAAGTCCAAATAGGTGGCTATAATACCTGGTTTGCTAGCTTTCTGTTGCTGCCTTTCTTTGTAATAGATTTCAGCAAAACCGAAAAGAATACTCAGGGGGACTGCATAATTCAATGAATTTAACACAGTATGTGTCAGGGGTTCAGGGAGAGAGGCACAGGGTAGGCAGGAGATGGAGAGCGATGGGGAGGAATTCCAAGCCAGCGAGGAAGAGGATGACAATGACTCAAGAGATTCCATGAGTCTTTCCAGCGAATCAGAGGATTCCCAGAAGGGGCGCCGGTGGTCAAGGCCAGGGAGCCCCAGGGGGGAAGTGTCAGGAGCAGGGTGCCAGCGGAGGATCCCAAAGTGGCAGCTGGGCGTCAGGACCAGCCTCCCCACCAGAGTGCAGCGAAGGGGGTGGAGTTTCCAGTGTGTCAGAGGAAGCAGCTCCAGCAGCAGAGAAAGGAGGGGGTCAGAGCAAGCCGCCCTCCCGGAAGGGAGGGAGCAGTGAAGGGAGTAGTGTAACTGTCAAAAGGAAAGTTAGAGGTTTGGCGCGCGCGCCTAGTTCAAATGTAGAGGCGCGCGGAAGTGCAGGGAGCCCGGAGGAGGGGCCAGGTCCCAAAGCCCGCAGGAGGGGGAAGAGCAGTCTGATTCCGCGTCAGAGGAATCCAGGAGGGGCGAAACCCCAGTGGGCAGAAGGACCCTGCGGAAAAGGAAGGAGAGAAAGAGGTGGAGCAGCGCAAGTCTCTTAAATTGGTGCAGGGGAGGGACTGACTCAGAGGGGACTTCAGCGGTCTAGCGTAAGAGACGTAAGGCTGCGCGCCTAGGATGTCAAGCAAACCATGAACTGCAATAAACACCTTTGTATATAAGAAGACATAGGCGTTGGTCTTTTGTGAGCTAAGACTTGAGGCAGCCTTGACAGTATGTATTAAATTTCACCAGTAGTCCAAATAAATGAAATATCTTTGAATGTGGTTCATAAATTTTGAGATGCACCATTTATTTCAGTTCTACTTGATAGCAATTTAAAGCATACCAGGTTCACAGTTTACTGCATGCCAAGCTTCCACTTTGCTAAAAAGAAAAAAAAACAGGCTTGGTTTCTGAATTGAGGGATTTTGCCATGAATTGGTGTTTGAACAAGGAAGACAAAGGAGAGTCTTGCTGATTCAGGTCAATAGCCCATCCTGTTCTAATGGTTGCCAACCAGATATCTATGGGACATCAGGAAGCAGGGCCTGCCTGCAGCAGCACTCTCCACATTCATGGTTCCCAGAAGGATCAAGGACTGCCTGATCCATTGCATCCCTGTCTGATCATTGATATCTTTGGAGGAAGTCATTGATAGTGGTCCCCTGTGGCTCAAATGCACAACTACAGTGGTACCATGGTTCTCGAACTTAATCTGTTCCGGGAGTCCGTTCGACTCCCAAAACTGTTCGAAAACCAAATGCACAGCTTCCGATTGGCTGCAGAAGCTTCCTGCACTCAAGTGGAAGCCACGTCGGATGTTTGGCTTCCGAAAAACATTTGGAAACCGGAGCATTTATGTCCGGGTTTTCAGTGTTCAGGAGCCGAAATGTTCCAAAATGGAGCCGTTCGAGAACCAAGGTACCACTGTAGCATCTACCAGGAGCCATATGTTCACAATGATAGACCTGATATTATGGAACTACCTTCCAGTTGAGGTCAGGCGGACCCCATTCCTATTCAGCTTCTAGTTCCTACTGAATACTATTTTTTAGTACCAAGCATATATTATTACTTTATTATATTTAATATATTTGTATTTATAATATTTATATTATTACATTTATATAAATATTTATTATATTTATTATATTTTACTTAATTAATAATAATATATTCCAATTTTATATTTTAACCCATTTTTATTTTCATTATATTAAGTGATTAAGTGCTCCAACCGATCCAACAGCTTGTCCACATTCCCGAGCCTTACTAACTAAAACTCATCCAACAGAAGAGGACTAAAGAGTACTCCTGACACCCCTTCAGATTCATATGCTATAACAGCAGAGTCAAGATCCCAGGGGATACAAGCAGTTTTGTCCTCAAAATGCTTTGCAAACAGGTCATAGCGAACTTAGGGTTGCTATATTTCAAAAAGTAAAAACCAGGACACCAGCCACAATAATTTTTGAGTTTTAGAGCTTTTTAAGGCATTTTTGGCACAATTTCACCCCCGTTGTTGGTTTTCCAGGACATTTGCCTGATTTCTGAAAAATAATCCAGGACACCATTTTTGGATGCAAATTCCAGGGCATGTCCTGGAAAATCAGGATGTATGGCAGTCCTAAGCGAACTACCTGTACCACCTTCTTCAGACCAGACTGCAAGAGGCCCCAGACTACCCAGATAAGCTCTACTGGATGGCACAGCGAGGATGCTGAATATTCTATAATGCTGAGCATATCCGTGGCATAATCTCTTATTGTGCCGTTTTGCTGTGAA